GCCAGCCAGCCCCGCCCCCTGGTGGGCTGAGCTGGCCACACACACACACACACACACACACAAATAAATAAAAATTAAAAAAAAAAAAAAAATTCACACCTGACTACCTGACTCATGTGTATGAACACATCAAAACGTAGGTGCACCAAAAATATTGTTCAAGATTACCTTCAGGTGGGTGCAGTAGTAAATCCCTATAATCCTAACTACTCGGGAGGCTGAGACATCACAAATTTGAGCCCAGCGTGGAGAACTGAGTGAGATCACTTCAAAATAAAAATCAAAAAGGGTTAAGGGTGGAACTCATGGGTAGAATGACCCCTAGTAAAAAAAAAAAAATAATAATGTGCCATATCTTTAAGGTATTTACATATAAAATTTAAACGAATTTCATGTTTAAACTCAGGTTCCATCTCCAACATGTTTCATTATGCATATTTCAACCCCCCTAAAAAATGTGAAATGTGGTCTCCTCTTATGGTCTCAAACATTTTGGACAAGGAATACTTGATCTGTACACAGAAAAGTTTACAAATTCAGTCCTTAAGTCCATGGCCTCAGGTATGGAACAGTACAGAAATAATCATCCCTAAGATACGTTAATATAACTGATGGAGAAAGAAAATGAGGAAATCCAGAGATTTGTGTCGTCCTCCAAGACAATAATGAAAAAAGAAAGATAAGTGAAGGTTTAGACGAAGGGTAGACATTTGAAGAACTTCCTATGTGGTACAATTTTCATTTAGTGGTGAAATTAGTGGCACGACACCCTACAAGTAGCTCACTTAAAAAAGTTTTCTGGGATGCATGTTTAAGAATATTCACTGAGTGTGGTAGCACACACTTATAACTCCAGCAGTAAGACCTTATCTCAAATAAGTAAATATATGTTTACAGCACTGTCTTTCATAACTATTCAAAAGTGTTAAAAAAAAAAAAAATCCTGACCATTCACCAACAGTAGATACACTGCAGCTTACTCAATGGAATACAGATCTGGAAATTATAAGCAACAAGGATAAATCTTAAAAACACAATCTTCAAGGTGCATTCTAATAGTGTGAAATGAATCAGACTCACAAGCTTAAATATCATATGCTTTATCACGTATGAGAAACCCAAAATAATAAACAATAGGAAATAGGGAGATAGAACCTTTGCAAATAGGTTAATGGACCAAGAGGTATATAGGAAGGAGAAAGGGCAGGCAAAGAAGACATAAAAAGAATTAAGATGTATCATGACCAAGTACCAACTCCCCACAATCAATGTATTCATTATGCACTGCAAACCAATAAACACACACACACACACACACACACACACACACACACAATGCTGAATGAAAAAAAGAGATGCAGAAAGAATACCTGGTGAGATTCTATTTCCATACAGTGCAAAAACAAATTGAACTATAAAGTGCATATTCACATTATACAAAGATGGCACAACTACAAGGAAAAAGAAAAGACATGGTTATCTTAGAATTCAGGACAGCAGGGGCCGGGGAGATGGCTCAGTGGAATATGCGCTTCCCTGGCAAGCGCAAGGGCCTGAGTTCAATCCCCGGTTCCACCCAAAAAAAAAAAAAAAAAGAATTCAGGACAGCAGCTCTCTCTATGGAGAAAAAGGCCTGTGACCCTTAAAGGGATGAGCAAATGGCATCTGCTCTGCATGTCAAACGTGAGGGTTTAAAACCAAGCCAGCTTACAACAAACTGCACTAAGCAATTGCAAAACAAGGCAGAAAGGAGCTCAACAAATCTCTACACTTGATTATACATTGGGCTACAGGCAGTAATTTTTTTTTTCTTCAGAAAACAAATACAATAAGGTATATTTTGAAAGCTACCATTAAATAATGCCTAAGTGTAGATTTGAAATAAATATTTCATTAATAAGCTTCATAGTGTGCTCCAATAGTTAAGACTGAAGGACTTTGTTCACTAATCAATTAAAATATATAAACAAGAACCAGTTTTATCATGGACACAGGAATGTGATAGTATGCTTATTTATAAATAATCTCATTTCATTTACAAACCGATTGTTATTTTGTATTTCCTTACAAGTAAACAAAATGTATTTGAAAATGCTGACAACTATTAGAGGAAATTTAAAATAGCAATCGTCCAGTGACCTAAAGGCCTGGCATGAAAAAATGCTGAGATGCCCATCTATGCAATATTTTCCTGAAAGCAGAATCCTTGATTGTATTTGAAAATAAAAAAAGACATATGTAGTGTTTAGGTATAAGTCTATGATAGCCTGCATTTGGGACCTTCATAGTTTTTCAAACAGAAGCCAGCTTACTCTGCCTTTCCCGTGTACAATTTCTACACAAATTATATGGCATTTTATGCAAATGCCTACATTATCTCGGTCCTTCGCCTCCCAAAATCCACAAAGTCGACTCGAAAGGGAAAGACTGGGAGTCAGAAGGAGACAAGGTGAACTCCCAAATCTCTGACTTCCAAGTTCCTCGGCTCCGCTCCAGAGCGTTTGTAAGCAGAACTGCCCTCCACAACCAAGCGGCAAGCTGCGGCAGGAAGCGAAGCGGTCACCATAGGAACTGGGCGCACCCTTGAACTCCCAGGGAACGCCAGCGAGGACCCGGCTGGCTCCCCGGAGAGCTTCCCGGGCCGCGACCCGCCCTCGCAGCGGCCCCGGACGCGGAGACTCAGCCCGGGCCGCCCCGCCTGCAGCCCCCGCGCACCTCCGAAGCCTCTACCTGGAGCTCCGGGGCCCTCCCCAGGCTTTCGGGCCCGCCGTCCTCCCCGGTGCTCATCCCTGCGACTGCCGGGCCGGGGCCACCGCGGTCCTTCCAGGTCCCGCCGGGTCTCCATCCTCCGCCCCTTGCCCCGCCCCTCCCGCCCCCAAATCCGCCTGGTCCCGCCCTGGCGGAGGCGGAGGGAGGCGGGACCCCGCAGGAGGGAGGCGGGGGCGGTTGGCGCCGGCCTGCGCGCCGTCGGGCCCGCCCTCACGCTCCCCCCGTACCTGAGGGGGGCTCTTCTGCCACCTCCCCTGCGCCTTCGCTCCGCTTCCGTCCGGCGCGCCCCCGGGCCCTGTGCGCACGCGTACCTGGCTCGACCCGCCCTAGCTCAGGGACTACAAGCCGTGCGCGCGCACACACGCACGTAGCGACGCGTACGTCCACCTGTCCGCCTCACAGGGCACCTAGGAAAGGCCTCTTCGTGGCCCATCCGCGCCGCGCAGGCGCACGCCCACGCAGCGCCTAGCCGCCGTACCCGAGCGTCCCGTCTCCTAGCAACCAGCGCGCAGCCCCTTTCTCGCGACTTTTCCGGGACACCGCACCTGGGGAGAATGCGCGTGCGCATGACTGTTTTCCTCCCACACACTCACCTAGGTGCTTTAGGGTCATTCCTCTGCGCTTTTCCTAGGGATCTGAAATCCTTCTGGACCCACGTTCATTAGAACAGCTGCTCTTGGGCACAGCTTCTGCTACAGCCAGGGCAAGTTTTGAAGTCCACTCCTTGGTCCGGTCACCAGCTCCAGACTCCTGGGAGTGACCCGCATGTCCCGGTGAGCGCCGGCAGCCTCTTGTCTGGGGAGCCCGTGGACCCAAGGCTTCAGCAGCCTTGCACAGTTGAGTCAAGCTGGAGGCGGAAGGTGACCGTAAAACCCATCTTCCACTAATCAGTCCCCTTCCGAGTCCTCTTTCCAGAAAAACTGGCCGTGGATAACAAAGAAAAGGTATACCTAACGCCTTACGCGATGTTTAATAACGTATAGATTTTTTTTTCCCGTTTAATACTGTTTAAACTTGCCTCTGTTTATTTAGGAGTCTTCACTCTGGGAACATTCAGTTTAACTTACCCTGTTCAGAAAAAAGAAAAAGCAGCTAATTACTCTAAAGTGGAGAAATAAGGTTTTCAATGAAAAAGAATAAGCTGTGCGTTGTTCTGCCAATGTTTTGCAGCCTTGCTTGAAAGAAAATAGACTTCTTAATGTTTCTAAATACTTAACATGTCCCACCTTTTTTTTTCCGGGGAACCGGGGATTGAACTCAGGCCCTTGCGCTTGCCAAGGAAGCGCTCATTCTAAGAACTTTTGAACTACAGTGGTAATGTCTTTCCTTATAGATGATGTCTTACAGCACCCCTCTAAAGAAATTGATGTGATACAAACCTTTGCATTTCAAAAGTAGGATCACGTTTCAGACTAACAATTCCTGTTTTTCCTGTTGAATACTCACTTTTTCCACAAAGTGGTATTGGCATGATAAACGATTTTTATTTTCATATACCATATCATTTCTAAATATGACCAGATACAGTACAAGAAAATGAAGTTGTCTCTTAGTTTAAAGCAGTGAGAAGATCTAGGGAGCAATACATTTCCTTTGAAATACAATTGATAGGGCCGGCACAATGGTGCACACCTGTAATCTCAGCACTCAGGAGGCTGAGCCAGGATGATCATTTGAAATGGGAGACCAGCCTGGGCTATAAAGTGAGCTCAAGGCCAGCCTGAACTGTGTAGTGAAACCCTGTCTCAAAAAGCTAAGATGGCCTGCAAGATAGTTCAGCAGAGTAAGTGCCTGCCTAGGCTAGCTCCTGGTCTGGGATTTGATCCCTGCCTGGCACCATATGCTGTGCAGACCCCATCCCCCAAAACTGGATGTGGTGGCCCTTGTAATCCCAGCGCTGGGGAGGCTGAAAACAGGAGGAGCACTAAGAGTCCAAGCTGTGTAGTGAGACCCAACACCAAATACAAAAAGAAAAAGACTGAAAAGAAATACAATTGATAAAATAAGTAGAAAAAAAAAAAAAAGCATGGGCTCTCAAAAGATCATCCTGAAAAGTTAGAATAATGTATAATCAGGTATTCTTGTCAGACACTAAGATTACTTTGAAGAGTCTCACCTAGCGTGATTGAAAACAAAAAGAATTAACTAACTTTAAAACTGGAAGGAGGAACAAGGGGAATGGGAGAAAAAGTTATATCACGTACAGGCACAAGTTTTCTATGATGAATGTGATCGTTATGTATACTAAAATGTACTAATAAAATCTAATTTAAAAAATAAATAGAAAAACTGAAGTGTGCCCCAGTGATAGAGCAAGGTGCTGAGCGGCAGGATGCCAGGATTCACTGCCCAGCACTAACAACCAACCAAACAAAATTCTTTCAGTTGAAGTGGAGGTCTTAGGGAGGAGAAGGATTACCACTACAGAAAATGGAGAAGAGTAACCTATGCCACCTAGATGTTACTATAGATTCTTTGAAAATAATGTAGGGGAAAGATCTTTTTTATGTATTTTTTAGTACATGGTCTACAGGGTCTCACTACACAGATCAGACTCATAGTGATCCTCCTGTTTTCAGCCTGCCAAGCACTGGGATCACAGGTGCGCACCACCACGCCCAGTCTCAGATCTTTTTAGGGCCAAAAGAGTACATAAAAATGTTCCTTTCTTTTCCTATCAAGGAGTGATGGTTTACTCCCCTAACCCAAGAAAATGAAAATGTCTTTTCTTCTCTGTAAACCCAAGGAGTTGTGAGAGTTCCAACCTACCCCAGTTAAGCCTTGTATAGTAACCTGCCTCGCCTGTAACATGCACCTTATTCATAGTTCTGAGATCTAGGTTTTGTAGTCCTTTAGCTTCTCCATCATTTCAAAGGTTTCAAGTACAAAAATCTATTTTGACTTTTTTCTTTCTGTGCCCCTTGGTCCCCTCGAGCCAAAAAACCAGAGACTTCAAATACACATACATTGAGCAATGTGTGGAGTCCTCCAGCTCACTGAGGCTCTGTGTCTTTTTTGATCAGATTGTTCCTATTGCTATATGCTTATATATCCTCATGTATCTATAGCTACCTATCTATGTGATTATATATAGACAGATCTGTGTAAACATATCTATATACTTAAATGTAGTTGTATTTATATATTATATGAATATATGTATGTATTTCTATTTCTCTGTAGGATGTATACCTATACATAGAATTTTGCAGTGCTGAAGATGGAACTCAAGGTTCATACATGCTAGACAAGCACCCTACAACTGAGCCTTTCGGTGCTATTTCTTTCCTTTGGCAGTTGGTCCCACCCATAGTTTTCATGGCAAACATTTATTTTTCATGTATAGGAATTTGATGTTTTAAAAGAAATCTTACATTTCATACTATATCATGTTCATGATTTATACCACCTTCTTCCAGACATGGAATATATATAGAATATGTTTTAAGGTATTCATATATTAATTCTGTTGTATAATTTGTGGATTCACGTCTACTTTTATTCCTCCTGGTTATAAGTTAGAATTTTCTGTATGTTGTCATAGAGCTAAGTTTTGATTCAATGCTAAGTATTGGAAACAGGAGATAGGGAGGGAGAAAGGGAGGGAGGGAGGGAGGGTTAGAATTTACATATGTTTGGCTTTCTTCCTAGATTTGGTTAAGGTACTTGGGAGCAATTTGACCCTTTAGATCTGTACCATCCAAAATAGTAGCCATGAGCTACATGTGACTATTTAAATTTATATTACTTACATTTCACTTCCTCATTTGTACTATCCACGTTTCACATCCCAGAAGCTACTTGTGGCTAATGGCTACCAAATCGGATGATGCAGATATAGAATACTGTGTGTATTTTCATCACTACAGTGGTATTAGATAATGCTACTTAGTGGCCAGTTACTTTTGGTACCAGGAATTGAACCCAGGGCCTTTGCACTGAGCTACATACATCCCCAACTTTTATTTGTTTTTGGGTGGGGTTTTTTGTTTTGTTTTGTTTTGTTTGAGACAGCTTCTCAATAAGTTGCTGAATTGCCAAAATTGGATCCAAACTTGCATTCCTCCTGCCTCAGTCTCCTAGAATTCTGGAAGTACGGGCATTCAACACTACTCCAAGCTAGAAGCTAACTTTTAAAATTTCTAAGTCCAATGTAGCCATTAAATACAGGCCATTTTTGGCTTTACAGCTAAGCTAATACCTTTCTATATACTCTACCCAATGCCTCAAATATCAGGATGCCTTGCCACCTCACTGGTGGGAACATAGACTATTCTTGGTCCTGTGTGAGCTCCAGTGACAATTATTCTGCCTTCTCCTTTTTGGCGGTTCTCTCTCAGGCCTCAGAAGCTTTCTTCTTCACATTCCCTCACCAGTACTCAGCTGAAGAGTTGAGGGGAATCCTCTGAAGACCTCTAGAGTGCTTTCTCACTCTTTGCCTCTCTCCTCTCTCCACAGATTCTAGCCACCTGGTCTCCCCAAACTATCCTCTGAATTCATGAAAGTGACCAGACTCCATTGGACCCCCTTCTTGTGTGGACACCTGAGAAATTCCAGGCACTTAGCCATTCCATGAGACAATTTTTTTATTCCCTTTCCTTAGGAATCATTCCCTTACATTGCCTGTTGTCCCAAATTTAAAATACATCACTTCATGTATTGTTGTCGATTTTTAGTACATGGTTAAAGCATCAGGATCAATCTGGTTCCTGTTATTCCACTGTGCAGGAAGCACAAGTCTGCCAGCTCTTCCTTGTTTGAGGCTCTGTCATTGATTAGCCTCAATGGGAGTGGCTTGGAATTCAAAAATTGTGATCGCGAGGGCCCTGAAGCAGATGAGAGTACAGCGTAGCACATGTTTGGAGATTCTCAGTGAGTTCATAGGACTGCCATAGAATGAGAGAGATTGAAGAGGGCGTGAGCTGCGGAATGAGCTTCCTGTTGCTGCTGTGACACTTTGCCACAGACAACACAAATTTATTATCATACAGTTCCAGAAGTTAGATACTCAAAATGGATCTCTCTGTGCTCTAGCCCAATAAAGAGGTCAGCAGAGCCTCTGTTCTTCTGGAAGCTCTGGGGAAGAATCTGTTTCCTTCCTTTCCTAACTTCATAAAATTTCCACATTGCTTGGCTTGTGGTCCCCACCGATCTTTAAAGCCAACAGTAGTCAGCAAATTTTTCTCACATATCTCACTTTAACACTGATATTCTTCTCATCCTCTTTTACTTAAGAAGACCCCTGTGATTCGATTGGTACCATTCAGTTAATCTAGAATAATTTTCCCACCTCAAGGGTTGCTGAGCTTTGGTGGCCATCATTCTGCCAAGCACATCCGGAGACCAGATTTGCTGTGAGATGGGAAGCAACTAACATGGCTGGAGGGCTGATGTGATCTGTCTTACTATTTAGAAGCCTCCTATCAGATACTATTTGAAGACTATACATTGGGGAAGGATAGTGTGTGTTAGGCAGCATTTCAGTGCTGTGACAAAATACCTGAGGAAAACAACTTAAAAGAAGGAAAGATTTATTTTGGCTCATGTCATTATAGAGATTTTGGTCCAGGTAGCTCAACCCCACTGCTTTGAACATGAGACGAGGCCGAACATCATGGCAGAGGGCAGGGTGAATCAAAGCTTCTTACCTCATGGTGGCCAGGAAGCAGTAAAATAGAGCCAGAGAGGAAGGGACTGGGGACAAGACAATCCCAGAGTATACCTATACCTGTGTGATCCATTCCCTTCAAGTATCTCCCACCTCCTAAGTTTTCATCATTTTCCAATAATGCCATAAATTATGAATCTTCCAATGGATTAATTCATTGATAAAGTCAGAGCTCTTATAGTCCAGTCACTGCCAAAGCCCCACCTCTGAACAGTGCTACATTAAAGACCAAACCATTACACATGAACCTTTGCCCCACAAACTGTGACAGAACCAAAACCATGACAGTTACAAGGCTGGAAGTAGAAACAGGGTTCATTAACAGTTTGTCTGTGATATACAAAAGTGGAGTTAAGAATGACTCCACCACATGGTTTCCCGTCATCCCACATTCTAATACTCAGTATTGTCTACTTTTCTAAACTCTACCACTCTGATGGTAGTTAACTTGGATTTCTGATGCCACCTAGGCTTGATATCTCTTTATGTATTCATAACCCACTTGGAATGAGTTATGTCTCTATATACTCTGTCCATCTTCTTTTGGGTTTTCCTTTTCCTTGTTGATTTCTGGAATTTCTTTTTAATACTAGTTATTAAATCCCCTGTCATCTTTACAAAGAAAATACCTCCTTCCAATTTTGTATCTATCTTTCATGTTTACTTTTCACTGAATAGTATTGTGTAATTATGAGTCAGGGAGATAGCTCAGCGACCTAACTGCCTGCCTGGCAAGTGCAAGGACCTAGTTCAATCGCTGGTACCACAGTACTGCATGCTGTGCAGGCCCACTGAAACCAGGCGTGGTGGTGCACGCCCATAATCCCAGCACTGGGGAGGCTGAGACAGGAGGATCACTATGAGTCTGAACTGCGTAGTGAGACCCTGCACCAAATAAATGAATAAAGATTTAAAAACAAAGAATATTTTTTAAGAAGAGTTGTGTAATTATAAGATTATAATCAAATGTTTTCCCCTTATTGTTTAAGCTTTAATGTCATGTTCAAGAAGACTCATTATGATAAATACATTGTGCTACATTTTCTCCTGTTACGTTTATAGTTCTAACATTCACATTTAGGTCTTTTCTGCTTTTGGAGTCCACTTCCATATATAAGATAAGGGTTCTGCTTTGTAAGATCCTTATATGATAAGGAATCTGTTGCAGGATTCCTACATGATCCCATCATGGGTTCACACAGTAATCCAGTACTCACAAAACATGCTAAACTAAAAACAAAACAAAACAAAAACAAAAAACATGCTAAACTTAGTGTGTTTATCTCCTTTGCCTTATAGTGCCTGAGCATAACTAGGTTCAAGTTGAAGTTCTAGTGTGTGCTTTTTGGTCACTTATTTGTTCCTGCACCCAAATAAGATTACTTTCTTTGTGCCACATCTTAGTACTTGGTAAGATGAGTCTCTTCGGGTTTTTTTGTTTTGTTTTGGGGTTTTTTGGCCAAATTGATTTAGGTTCTCATAGACTTTTATTCTTCCACATACATTCAAGATTTCTTCTCGAATGGCAATTCAAATGCCCCAAATGACATGTTTCTCCTTTATGTCTTCAAGACTCTGGGGAAGGTAAGGAAAGACTCGTAGGAATAAATCTACCTTCTTATTGTTTGCCCTTCTGCAATCAATTAGAAGGACTTAATATGCATATTGGTAATTATGTAAGTTATTTTACATTTGTTGATTGTTTTATAGTGTTTTGTTTTCTAATTTTATACTTTGAAAAGTTTTAAATCTATAGAATTGTAACAAGGATAATACTCAACATTTTTTAGCACCTAGCTTCAATAGTTAATATTTTGCATATCTTCCTTTCTATATTTATCTGTCAAACTATACATTGCTAAACAATTTGAGAACAAGTTGCAGTTATGATCCTGCAACCCTACTTCAGCATGTATTTCTTAAGAACAAAGACATTCATTCAGATAACCACAATACAATTATAATATCCATAGCATTTACTGTTGACCTAATATTATCTAACAGACCATCTATATCCAGATTTCCCAATTGTTCAAATAGTCTGTGCAGTATACTTCTCCCTTTCAACTCAGGAACATTCATTGCAGTTCCTAGACCAACCTTGTTCTATAGAAGGTCTCTCAGTTTGGTTGTCTCTCAGTGTGATTGCTTCCTCATGATTGAATTCAAATTATGCTGTTCTTCTTGGTGCTGGGATTGAACTCGCCTTAACACTGCCAGGCAAGTGCCCTGCCACTCAGCTATTCCATTAACTTCAAACTATGCCTTTTTGATGGGAGTGTTTCCTTCTTAATTAAAGATGAAAAACCAAAGAATAAAATAAACTCAGGTTTTTTTAACTTAAAAACAGTGTTAGATATTTCTTTAATGGGGAAAATATATTCATCTCCAAGTTCCAAATATAACAGGAATAGTTATGTTTCAGTGTTTCACAAGAGTTCTTTTTAAAATGTAGTTGTTTTTGATTCCCAGGAAGCCAAATCTGTACTATTTATCTAACAGTTAACGTTTGAATTCCCACTATATGAAGGATACTACAACAGCCCAAGGACTCTGTAACAGGTTAAACACTGATACTCAATGAGAACATAAACAGAATTTCGAGGGATTTTTAAAAAAATTTGTAATGCAGCCTCAAAAAACAAGCTAGATGGGGCTGGTGAGATGACTCAGTGGTCTAAAGCACCTACTTAGAACAAGCTTAGCAAAGCACAGGGACCACGGTTCAATCCCCCAGCACCACATGCCAGCCAGCCCCGCCCCCTGGTGGGCTGAGCTGGCCACACACACACACACACACACACACACACACACACATAAATAAATTTTAAAAATTAAAAAAAAAAAAAACAAGCTAGAAATTCAATTTGATGCAGCTGTTTCCCTTCTAGGAATCTTCCTGAGAGAGTGTAAGACATATTATATTGCAAATTTCTATCCACCTTTCAGAGCCTATCTGTGACCCTTGATGTAGCCCTCATCCCTCTTTGGAAACCTCTCCGAAAATCTCACTCAAGTTTACATACTCACTTTTCTCAACAGGTGAGGATCCTTAAGTTCCATGTATTTTTTTTTTTTTTTTTTTTTGGGCAGGACTGAGGATTGAACTTATTCTACTGAGCTATCTCCCCATCCTGTTTTTAATTTTTTAATAAATTAACTTGGTATAGGGTCTCACTATGCAGCTCAGATCATAGGGATCCTCCTGTCTCAGCCTCCCCAGTGCTGGGATTACAGGCATGTGCCACCATGGCCAGTTTTGGTGGCCAGCTTGGCACGGAGCTTGCCTGGCATTTAGTACCAGGGCTCAAACCTGGGTCCTTATGCTTGCCAGACAGATGCTTACACCTCTAGATCTCCAAGCTATCTCTCCAGCCCTTCCATATCATCATTGGATTTTTTTTTTTTCTTTTTGCAGAGTACCTACATAGCAGAGTGCTTTCCCTTTGGTAATTATTTAAACTATTAATAATGAATTTAAAAGTATTGCTAGTAAGAATGACAGAGAAGACTAAGAGAAGTTCTGTTATTTGCTGGAAGGTGATAAATAGTAAATTAGGCAAATTTCTTTTTAATGACTGTACAAACCTTCCTATAAAGAAAATGTAAGTTAAAAAAGTAAGTGCTAAATGATAAAGAGCAATTTTATTTATATTTGTAGCATCTCTGTGACATTTCAAACAAACACCGCCATGCAGTTGTTGAGATTCCTATTGTATTGACTTCTCACCTCTATTTTTGTTTTTCAGTAATCAAATTGAAGATACATTCGTACTACTTTAAAAAGCCATCTCCAAATTACCCAATGGGATTTCCTCTTAGTAAATCTACTCGGATATCTGCCATTCAAGTGGATGCAAAAGTAGACGATCACTTAATACAAGGGACTGAGAAAAGCAGTTTGGGGCCGGTCACTCGATTATTTCAGAACACCAAGAAAATAAGATTAGAAGACACAAACCAAGAGAACTTCACAAAACTTGAAGGGACTGGCACAGGATCTCTTTCAGAGAAAGCTTTGGTTTCAGTGGAATATATTAAAGAAAGAGATGGAACAGAAATGACAGATGTGGAATGAAATACCATGTATGCGTTACCAAAGAAACCAAAAATGGCTTTCAATTAAGAGGTGTTATTGAGACCGAACAGCATTAGGAACACCTAACAAAATGAAGGAAGATGTGTTTTATTTTTCACTATCTATGAATCATCTTAAACTACATCTTTTGATGGTGCATATTGAAAAGGCAGTCCGTCAGGTTAGGGAGAAAAAAAACTTCCAAATTCAAGGCAGATTTCTCTGGGATTATATTCCAACTTTCATAAAAAGAGTTCTTTGCGGCAGTACTTAAGTGACCCTGAAGCATTTCTCTGTAATTGTAAAGAATTTCATTATTTCATTAATGAGTGGTTTTAAAATGAAGTGTCCTAGCAATTTGTCATCAGTATTTTACACTATGTCTGGTGTACCACTTCTGTGTGTTGCATTTTCAGTTTGGCACTGTATCTTCCTAAAGTTTTCATTTCTGCTCTGCGAAAGGTCACTGCAGGTAAACTCAGCAAAAGACCAATAAATTGCATCTTTTCAGAAGCATTTCATGTGGTACGTCTTTCTTTTAGAATGTTGCTCCGGAGACTGCATCTATTTCAGAGTTAGAAAATACTTCTTCCCAAGTTTAATACTTTATCTTGTGTAAACTACCATTTTATATCACCAATAACTTCGTAAAAGTAAGCTGATCTTTTATTAACTAGTGGTTCTTATTAGTACGTGGCCTGCGTCCCTCCTCGAAAGGTCAGGGAAACGTGGAGCACCGTGAGACAGCAACAGCGCTGGACACCTGGAGGCGGTGCGCTCCCGGGTCGGCGCCTGCTCTCGGGGGCGGGGCCATGGGTGGGGCGTCCGGTGGACTGGCCATTAGGAGGCGGGCCCTGTCGCAGTCTCCGCCCACAAGGGGAGTGGGCGTGGTCAGGGTGCCCTCGCGGTCTGTGGATGCCCCGGGTCCCCGCGACCTTCCCCGGCACTAGACGGCTAGAGGACCCGCGCGACCGGAAGTAGCGGGTGGGTAAAACCGGAAGCGGATATCTCGGGGCGCTGTGGAGTGAAGTGGGTGGTGGAGATCGCGATGGGCGGCGGGTGGGGCCTGAGGACCCTGGGGCTGGGAACCACGTGCGCCTGAGTCACCTCTGGCCCGCGGAGGTGAGAGGTAAAGGCCCTGTGTTTTACCCTCAGCACCAGGGACCTGACACTGTCCCTGTTAGGAAGGGCTGACACGGATCTAAGGGAGGGTGAACAGCTTGAAAAAGCCGTGTGCGCGGCCACAGCTAAAAATGGGGGACAGAACGTGCACAGGAGCGCGATGAGCCTGCGGATAAATGACAGTGCAAGGGAGGTGGCAAGAAAGCCTTGAAAAGGTTTTATGTAGAAGCAGGGGCCAGGCATGCCTGTAGTCCCATCTATATTCGAGGCTGAGGCAGGAAGATTCCAAATCTGAGGTCCGCCTGGGCAAGTATATTGAGACCTTCTCTCAAAGGATTGAGGGTAAGGCTTAGTGGCAGAGTGAGTGCCGCAGGGTTCAATGCCTAGTAGTGGGGGAAAAATAAAGAGAAAGCCGGGCCTGCCTAGAAAGATGATGGATGGCGATTGTTTTGGTGGTGGAATACCAAGTTGGCCAGTGCACAATGTCAAGAATGAGTATATAAGAATATCCTGAGGAAAAAATAAAGCTAGTAATTTTTAAAATTTTATTGGTGCATTTTAGATATGCCTAATGATCACACTCATCATAGGGAATTTACATCTGTACATAATATAACTTGATTCTTTTACCCCTCCCTTTACCCTTTCTCCCCCTCCTCGTTCTCAGAAAGCTTTGTTTCCATGTGTCACTTTTCCCTTCCTTTCTCCCTCCCTTTTCTTTGTTCTCCTTCCTATTTTAACATTTTCTTCCTATTTCCCAGTGTCCGTTACACATTTTGGACCTTATTTACCCTTTTGATTTCTAACACCGGAGAGTGTGCTATTTACAGGTGTGTCTGATTTATTTCACAAAAGAGTAAGATCATAAGGTGCATCCATTTAAAACCTAGAAATGTCTCAAGTTTACCTTTTTTTTTTTTAATTTTTACGTATTTGGTTCAGGCTTTCACTACACAGCTCGACTCGTACTGATCCTCCTGTTTTCAGCCTCCCCAGCCCTGGGATTACAGGCATGCACAGTCTCTGGCCAGCTCCACATGCCAGGGGGCGGGGCCCGTGCGGCATGTGGTGCTGGAATGAACCCCTGTCCCTGAGCTTGCCTAAGCCGGCACTAAGGCTGCTGAGCTATCTCACCAGCCCTAAACGTTCCCTTTTTAATAGCAGAGTAGTACTCAATTGTATAAAAAAAAAAAAAATTCTTTACCCATTCATCCATTCGGGTTGTTTCCAAGCAGAGAGCATGAGTGTGTTATAAATATGGGTGTACAGTACATATATTGCTGTGGTTTTGTACTTTTAATTCTTTTGGGAAGGTACCAAGAACAAGAATAACTGGGTCAGGTGGAAGTAGGGTTACTTTTCTGAAGAATCTCCACACGGATTTCCACAGTAGTTGTGCCAGTCTATGCTCTCACCAACAGTGGAGAAGGGTTCCTTTTTCCCTTACAGCACAGCCACCATTTGTTATTGGTTGATTTCTTGATTATAGCCATTCTTTCTAGAGTGGGATGCAATCTCAGTGTTCTTTTAATTTACATCTCTGACTGGCCATTGACGTTGAACATTTTTTCATGTATTTATTTTCTGTAAAGCTAGTAAATAAAAGAAAATAGAGATTAAAGAAACAAAATTTTACCAGTCTTTCAAAGGTCTACTACACACTGACAAGTAGAGAGTATATGATTCATTCAGGGATCTGTCTGTGACAGGAACATAAAACAAGGAAGGTGTATTTGCCTCAGAGGGAGTACACAGTGTCCTGACTTAACTGGAGGATTTTCCCAGGGCCCAAGAGTTGAGATGATTTCCTTAGGGCCCAATCCATCACACGCTGAAATTGTTTAGCTCAATCCTTTTGTTCTGATTGTGTATTCACAAAACTGAGTATAAACTGGCTCATGAGCAAGTAAGTAGACTCATTATCGGTATAGCCTATGGTTCTCTAAATCAGTACAGGTAACTGGTATTCAGGATTTTGGGATGTTCCTTTGTTTCCACTTTATATTCCTTCTCATACTTTAGGGCTCAATCAAAAGGTTACATCCTCACCAAGGCCAATTTATTTGTTTTATGAGTTCAAACACCTAGAATGGTTTCTGACACATGGTGGGCATTCAGCCTAACTCTTACTTTTGCTCACATGTTGCCATTTTGATAAGATCTGGCCTAACAGCCCTACTGAAAATGGACTCACATACCTGGTTCCAAACTTTTCTTCCAAGCCCTACCTTTTCTTTCTTTCTTTTTCATTACCTTTATTTATTTGGCTTTCTGATGGATCCCAAGTGCCAAGGACAAAGCAGAATTTGTAACATTAATTCCTTTGTTGTGTTTTATTAACACTATACAAAATGGCTGGGTATATAGAGATATTTTGAGCACTATTAAGATATATGAATTATATCAGTAGATGAATTGGCTCAGTTCTGGGACCAAGCATATAATCTTGGTGTAGGACAATGTATTGTGGATATAGCTAATTTATCAAGGAAAATGCCATTCTGGTGTGTCTTTATTAGGCTATCTTTGTACATGTGAGGAAATACCCATTATATGACTAGAACCATATGAACAGGAAAAGAGACATGTGAAGGGAGAAATCCCATAATAATATCTATCATCTCAATACACTTCACACTGACCAGTCATGAGTGGTTTACGCCATAACATTAAGATATGTTATCAGAAATACATGGCCTGGGGCTGGGGAGATGGCTCAGTGGAATAAGCGCTTCCCTGGCAAGCGCAAGGGCCTGAGTTCAATCCCCAGTTCCGAAAAAAAAAAAAAGAAATACATGGCCTGCTTCAAGACAGGCACATGCCTATAAACCCAGGACTGTAAAGGCTGAGGCAAGACAGTTATATGAGAAACCCAAAGTATAAATAAAGAGCAAAATAAAAATAGGTAATAGGATGTAGGCAGATAGATCTTTCTCAAAGGAGAAAAGGATCAAGAGATGGGGAGGGGAGGGACGGGACAAAAAAGGAATGGAGATGTGTTATGTACATGATGTGTTATGTGTTATGAAAGCAATTGAGATATGTTCTATACCAACTCCCCACAAGGAATGAAAATATTATGTACTGCAAACATGTACTACAATATTTTTGAAGGAATTTGTGGTACAAGGTTTTGGGATTGCTGGATATGGAAGTGTAATTAAAGTACCTTTAATTCAATCCTCCCATGGGCCCCAGGGCACATGGAGCAGCTACAAGTTAGACTAAAGTTAGCCAATTAGTAAGTGGCAGAGCCAGGATTAAAATTTAAGCCTGTTTTGTGTGTGTGTGTGTGTGTGTGTGTGTATTATTTAATTTGTTCCACAACTCTGGGGAAAATGGCTGTAGTCATGTTCCTCATCCCATGCAGAGTTCTCAAACGGAAGCAATATTTTGCTAGACACTTCTGTTCAAATACTAAACTGTTCAGCAACAGAGGCTTTCGTGAACTGGACATGAATTTGTTTTCTCTCTTCTCTGTCCCCCCACTACCTGGTGTCTGGTGGATGCTCTGTAAATGTTTGTTGAATGAATGCAGAACTTTATGGTACTCAGTCATACAGATTTACGAACAAAAAGATTAACCAAAGATACAATCTGAGTGTAGAGACTTCCTAGGACAGTGTAGCCAGAGGCCTCGGGGGAGCTAGGATACAGGTAGTGCAGCTGTTGTGTCCCTTAGGGGAAGGAGTCCATAGGGGCTGAGGAGATGGCTCAGTAGAATAAGCACTTCCCTAGCAAGCGGAAGGGTCTGAGTTCAATCCCTAGTTCCACCAAAAAGGAAAAAAAAAAAAAAAAAGGAACGAGTCCACAGAATGTTCATTACTGTTATCCCGCTGCCTGCCTTTGTGCCTGCAGTGTGCTACTCCCATCAACCTGGAAAACTGTCCAGTTTCAAGATACAGTTCAAGAAACTCTGCTTCTTGGAAACCTCGCCAGATCTTTCTTAAACAGAGGGAGTGTAAACTGGCTCAGCTTTTTTTTTTTTTAACATAATTTTAAAAAAAAATGTCAAGTGATAAAAGTGTGAAGACTCTTTAACCTAGGAATTACACTTCTAGGACATTACCAAACTAGTTTGGCCTAGTAATGGTCTCTGATAATCCACTTGAATTTGGCATGGTAGTGCATGCCTGTACTCCCAGAACTTTGGGAGGCAGAGATGGGAGGATCAAAATTTTTGAGATCAGCCTGAGCAACTAAGACCCTGGCTTAAAAAAAAAAAAAAAAAAAATTAAGATCCTGGCTTTTAAAAAAAAATTGTTTTTTAAAAATCTAGGAGGTAGTTCAGTGCAAAGACCCTGGCCTTATCCTCCAGAACTAAAAAAGAAATAATAATAATTAAAATCCACTCAGCCAGGCACGGTGGTGCATACCCGTAATCCCAGCACTCCAGAGGCTAAGGCAGGAAGATTGCTAAGAATTAGAAACCAGCCTGGGCTACACAGTGAGTTGAAAGCCAGCCTGACCTAGACAGCATGAGCCTATCTCAAAAAAGCAAAACACAACAAAAACAAAGAAACAACCCACTCTATTCCTAGTTCTTTCTCCTAGAGGAAAACTAGAAGCTTGCCAAGAATTGAAATGGAATGATTTAAAGATGCTAAGTAGTCAGAGTGCTTCATTCTCATGGATAGTGCAATTTTCCTCCTAGACTTCAGTCACACTGCTGATGTGTAGTTTGTAAAGCTGTCCAAACATGAATTTATTCATAGCCTTTCCATATGAGTCCACATACTCTGATTTTCTCTGACTTTAGGGAGTTCATCCTAATTTAATATTGACTAAATACAAGTTATCCTAGCAATAAACCATATATATCTCAAAGTCAAATAGGAATTATTTTTAAAACATTATAAAGACACAATTCATAAGGACATTTCTCTTTCCATAGTGATGTTCCTGAATACATTGTTGATGACACGGAAAACTAGAAACAACCTAATAGAGACCGAGAGCCTGAGCAGACTGGCACATTAACAATGAAATATTGCACAGTCATTAAAGCTGAGATGAAAATGGATTTAGTTTTAAATAAGCTGAGTATGATGACACTGTCTATAATCTGAGCTACTCAAGAGGCTAAGGCAGGAGGATCACTTGAGCCCTGGAGTTCAAGGCCAGCCTAGGCAATACACTGAGACCTTCTCTTAAAAATACATAGAATGAAATACTAAAATAACAGTAAAATTACACTTTTGGGGGGGAAATGTTTTCTGGGTGTGTTTACATGCACAGAAATAAAATGGATTATTCATGCCAAAATGTTAATTGTGGCTATCTCCAGGAGGGTGGGATTATGGATTATTTTATTTATTTATTTATTTATTTATTTGCTTACCTGTTATTTTCTTTATGATTGTGTATTACCTGGGAGTCTAATTTGTTTGGCTTTGAGATGTGTGACATAATGGATCTGATGTGTATTTATTGCTTCAAAAATATCCGTGCCCTCATTACACATCAACTGAAGTTACATGAAGTTTATCTTCATTTATTTCCTGGAGCACTCCTGGAGCGTTGCTAAAAGGTAATGATAAAAGGGAAGAAAAACAACCTCGGTGGGTACTTACATAAGTCTAGGTCAAATAGCCAGTTATCAATAGCTAGAAAGTAGAATTTAGTTTTTCTTTTCTCATTGAGTTAATTTGTTTGTCTTCCACTTTTAAAGGCATGCTGATCCCATTTTCAATGAGGAATTGTTTTCAGTTGCTTTGTAATCACAAAGTTCCGGCTGCTGGCTTTAAAAACACAGTAAAGAGTGGACTCATTTTGCAGTCTGTTTCCAATGATGTTTATCAAAATCTAGCTGTGGAAGACTGGATCCACGACCATGTGAACCTAGAAGGCAAGCCGATTCTCTTCTTTTGGAGGAACTCGCCTTCTCTTGTGATTGGGAGACATCAGAACCCTTGGCAGGAATGTAACCTGACTCTCATGAGAGAGGGCGGCATCAAACTGGCTCGGAGACTGAGCGGAGGAGGAACCGTGTACCATGACATGGGCAACATCAACCTCACTTTCTTTACCACCAAAACCAAGTATGATAGAATGGAAAACCTGAAGTTAATTGTGAGGGCTCTCAACACTGTCCAACCCCAGCTGGATGTGCAGGCCACAAAAAGATTTGACCTGTTACTTGATGGGCAGTTTAAGATCTCGGGAACAGCTGCTAAGATCGGCAGGACCACTGCTTACCACCACTGCACCTTGCTATGCAGTACTGACAGGACCACTTTGTCTGCTTTGCTGAAGAGCCCATCCCAGGGGATCAAGAGCAACGCCACTGCTAGCATACCGGCTGTGGTGAAAAACCTTCTAGAAAAAGATCCCACTCTGACCTGTGAAGTGCTGATGGAGGCTATTGCTGCCGAGTATGCTGCTTATCATCAAATTGACAATCACATCCACCTCATCAACCCAACAGATGAGACACTGTTTCCTGGACTAAACAGCAAAGCCAAAGAACTACAAACTTGGGAGTGGATCTATGGCAGGACTCCAAAGTTTAGCGTAAACACTACCTTTAATGTGTTGTACGAGCAGGCACATTTTGAGGTCAGAGTATTTCTAGACATAAAGAATGGAAGAATCGTAGTCTGCAAGATCGAAGCACCTGATCATTGGCTGCCGCTGGAAATATGTGATAAATTAAATTCAAGTCTGATGGGCAGCAAGTTTTGCCCAACTGAAACTACTGTGATAACACACATGTTACTCAGAATGTGTCCCGAAGACCGGGAACTACATAGTAAATGGAATGTTCTCTGTGAAAAAATTAAAGGAATAATGTGACTCCAAGTAACTGTCATTATACTGACAGTTTCAATGAGAAAATTTTAAAAACAATTTTTAAATGACTTATGTCTTGGAAAAAATACCTAGTTTATTTCAGTAACTTCTCCCCGCATTACCTTGCCTAGCCCCTGTCCTTGCCCATGCCCATGCCCACGCTTTCTGCCAGCCTCTGGGATGCTTTACCTCTGTGTTCATGGGTCTTAACACCTGGCACACATTTATATTTCACTCTGCTCCTTGCTCTCTTCCTGCAGTTAGATTTGAGCATCTTACACATGCTGATGCCACAGGTAGTCTTTTGGCTTTCCTACTCCTAAGGAATATAACCGAGGTTTCTCACTACGTCCAAATCCTAAACTCTGAAATTTGCCTTTTATCTGTATTTTTTTTAATCTCTCCACCTTCCTACTAAATCAAGCCCTATACTTTCTAAGCCTTTGATACTTCCCTAATCTTTCCTAGTTTCATTTCCCTTCCTATTCCAGCCTGGATATTTATTTATTTATTTATTTATTTTAAATTTTGGTGCTGGAAATCGAACTCAGGACCTTGTGGCTTGCTGGGCAGGTACTGTACCGCTGAGCTATATCCCCAGCCTGAATTATTTAAAGTAATAAATTTATTATAATTTCTTATTCATATTGAGTAGTTTTTCCTT